AAATATATATAGATTAATATAAAAAAAATTATATATTGATTGATATGAAAATTAATATATCTAATAAATATATATGTTATATTTGTTCAACTAATAAATATAATATCTTATAATAATATTATTATTATTAAAGTTAATTATATACAATATTTGATGATTTACATTAATAAATAATATATATGAAAGAAATCATTTTTTATATAAATACTATATTCTATTTAATAAATACCTTAAATTATAGTATTATTTAAGGAAAAATTGTTATTCATATATTTAGAAAATGTTGCATTAAGTTAAAATATAATCTATAAAAAAAATAATTAGGAAAAATATTTTTCTTTAGAGATTAAATAAGAGCACACTATTTGAATAAAAAAATATTAAAAAAATTATTACACTAAAAAAATTTATCATGTAATAATAAACACTTTATAGTAACACAATATTTGTCATTAAAAATTATTTTTTCTTATACTATAAATATAATATATGTTAATATATTGTTAAAATATGTAGATATAATAGTGTTGCATAATATATGTTATTAAATTTTGTTCAAAATTAATACTAAAATTATATGTAATTATATATTAAATAAATGTATATATAATAACATTTTTAGTGAGTTAAAATTATAAGTGATATTAAAAGGATATAATATATAAGTACAGGTGACCATATATTATTGAATGAATGTGAAGATATCGAAAGATATGCAGCAAATGAAAAATGAAGGGAATATAGTGCAAGAGAAAGGATTGCATTGTACCAATGATGTCTGAAGGGACTAAACCATTGCTGAACCTCCCTGTTGCTTGATTTCCTTTACCAAAATCTCTGCCATATGGTAGGAAATTGCATTTGCCTATGGTGGTGATGTAGTTGTTGTTACCCGTATCCACTATTGAATCCCCAAACACCATCACTGCTGGGACAGTTTCATTGTTTGGTAGATTCACATCACTAACATGTTCTGAGATTATAACCCTAACCAAACAACAAAGAAGGACTAGAGGCAATTGAGGAAAAAGTTTTTCAAAGAGAAACTTCATGTTACCCTTTATGTGATGAGGAAAAGATATTCCAATTTCCTCTTCCTTAATTTTATCTTACTATTCATCCATCTATTTATGCATTTCTATCGATCCCATCCTTTTACATCTATGGGAAATATGAAATATGGATTTTCATTTTAATTTTTGATTCGTATCATTAGATTTTGAAAATAAAAAATCCATTGTATTCCATGAACGTAATATTTTATTATATCGTTTATGTCGACTACTTATTATATTTAACGAATTTAATATTTTAACATATTTTTTTATTGGACTATGTATTATACCGTTCGAATATGAATTTTAATATTAATTCATTTTCAATATATACCGTGCATGTTTAGTAAATATTAAAAAAAAATACATTATATTTAATAAGCAAAAAATTTAAATATTTTCCTTTTTTATTGTGTATCAAGATTTTCTATCTTTATTTGTTTTATTTATTTTTTGATAGATATAGCATTTTATATATATAAAGTAAGGTTCCACAACAAGATATGTTCTTTTATCTGATTACTTTTAAGAATATGTAATTCAAAACCAACTGGTGATTGAATTTGAGATTTCTTTTTTAAAAAATTGACTTTGAGATCAACAAGAGATAGAGTAATATTGTCTATCTCTTGTAGAGAGAAAATTAGAATTAATTCAGATTTTGAATCAAATAACTTTGTCTCATCAAAAGATTCTCTTAAAGTAAAAATAATTTTCTCATCTCATGACATACAGATAATTTCAAGAAATAATATTCTTATAAATTTTAAATACCATGATGATTTAGGTGGAGAGATAAACATTCAAGAAAAATAAGTCAAAATTTCAATGCTTTTAAGATAAGAGATTTTTACTTTAATCAACTTATATTTATTAAATATCAACCGTTATATTGTGTGAAAGGCTTTTTAGGAATTTTTCTTTGATAAGAGGGTTTGTAAATTTTTTTTATTTCTTATTTAATTTTATTTTATTTATTATAATTATTTATAAATAAAGTATTAATATTTTAAAATAAATTATTAATAAATAAAATAATTTTGTACTATAATATATTATTAATTATAAATATAAAATATTATTTATATAAATTTTAAATATAATTTATATATTTAAACATAATATTTATATATATAATTTATTATAAATTTTAATTATATATAATAAACATAAATAAATATGTATTGCATAAATCAAAATACTAATAACACAATTTCATTTTACTTTATAGGTTTCACTCACTATAACATACAATGTCCTCACCCTTTCTTATAAATATTAAGATGTGTTTGTAGGAGTTATTTTTGGATCAATAATATTTTTTTCAAAAATCTATAATCAAATAAAGAAACTCACAAGTACATCATGATATTTCATATGATATACATGATATGCTTATTTTTATTTTTTTCTTAATCTTTTTCTTTTTGATGACGATCATTTAAATCTAGTGTGTTGTATAGTTACATGGCTACATAGATAAAATATTTTTTTTTTCTATTTAGTAAAGCACATTATCACAACTTATTACTAATATGTTGTGTAAGATTAGAGTCAGTTTAAATCTAGTCTAAATTTAGTTGTTTTTTCAAATCACGTCCAAATTGACCGAGAGTGAAAGCAAACACATACTAAATCTAGTGTGTTGTATAATTACATAGATAAAATATGTTTTTCTATTTAGTTAAGCACATTATCACAACTTATTACAAGTAATATGTTGTGTCAGATTAGAGTAAATCTATGAATCAAGTCAATAAAATATTTGTTTTGGACCTTTTAAAAAAAATATTTTATATTAACATTTATATAATTTTTTTTCAAAGCTTATAATTTAAAAGTCATTTTTTTTTTGTATTCTTAAAAACTTACTCTAAAAAGTGCATCTTTTAAAAAAATAAAAATATAATTATTTTTTAAAGTTCATAACTAAAATATTTTTATTTTTTAATTAAAAGATTATTATTAATTTTTAAAAAATCTTACTTTAAAATTTATTTTAAGTTTAACCATGTGTTACACGGAGTCAATGTCGGATATGGTGATCAAAGATAACTTATAATACTGGGTGGATGGTTAAGATCGGTGGGAAATTTGCATTCACCAAGTCTGAATTTGGTGACCAGAAAATTAGCGCCTATCTAGATTATCGACAAAGGCTTGATATAAGTTATAAAAAAAAAAAAAAATGCCTATGTTGGCCAAGGTATTTCTTTATTATAATATTAACTTGTCAATTTGTTTTAGAACGTAGTAATTTCTCAAAATTCTCTGCCTTATTTCTCCTCCATAAGAAAATATAATAAAATTAATTCATTAAAATTACAATACAAATACCATTATAAAATATTAAACTTAAATTTAATTTAATATATTATAAATACAAAAGGCATTAATTTTATTTTACGTAATATTGTAGTTTAATTTTCTTGACCATCAATTTTTATATCTAAATGAAAATTTAAAATATTTAAAATTAAGCTAATAATATTTCACGAAAAGTATTGTTAAATCTAAATACAAGTGCAAATATAATTCTTGGGGGATTCCGTGTTAAATATATACTTTGTGCTTCAAGAGGTAGCAGTAACAAATAACATATTGTTAATGATGGTTTACCCACAATGTTTAATTTATAAAGGAGAAAAATCACAAGCTCTATTGATGAATCTTGCTAATGTTGACCCTTTAGCTGTGAAAAGCCAGAAACTGTTTCCCATCTTGTCTTGTGATTGGTCTTGGGGTGGATGAAATTACGATTCACTTCGACTTTATCTATTGTTATTTTAATAACATAAAACATAATTTTATTTAAACATGAAAATGTTAAAATCTGGAACTTAAATAACTCTACTTTGTTTTTGTTTTTGTTTTTTTTCTAGGCCACATAATATATTTTCGTAAAGACAGGCTATCCAAATTGAGTACGATTGATATGAGAGACAAATGTTTTTCTTCGAAATTATGAGTTAAATTAAAAACTAATTTTATGCATCATGCACTCAGTAGGCTACACATCATCTTCAGACAGAACACGGGACAATATTTTTATTTTAATATGGAACATAATTTATTTTAAACGATATAAAGTATTAAAAAAATTGTAATCAACTCGGTCCCTGGATTGGACCTTTGAGTTCACAACTTTTCTCTTCCCTTTGAGAGCTTACCCTCATCCAGTGTATATCTCAGACACTATTTTCTCTGCAGTAAGCCTCTTGATCTATGATGGAGAAGATCCAGCACAGTCATGTGGAAGTGAATGGACTGAAGCTGCATGTGGCAGAGATTGGAAGTGGTCAATCCTTGAAGACCCTATATTGGAATACTTAGTAAGTGGTCATATGCATCAAATTCAGGTTATATAATGATCAATTTGTTGGTGCAGGCTCCAAGGCAGTGGTGTTCTTGCATGGATTCCCAGAGATCTGGTACACATGGAGGCACCAAATGATTGCTGTGGCAAACGCTGGTTATAGGGCTATTGCCTTTGATTTCAGAGGCTATGGACTCTCTCAGCATCCACTTGAGCCAGAAAAGGAAACCATGTTTGACCTGGTTCCTGAAATTGAGGGTCTTTTGGATGCTTTAAACATCACCAAGGTAAGGAAGAAGCTAGATATGTTGCATTACATATGTCTTGTGTGGAAGTGAATTAAACCATTTTCAAGTATACGGCTAAAAAAATTATTTCCAAGTTGTGAACTTCGGTTCAGATATTCATTATGCAGCCCTAAGCTCAAAAGGGAAGTAATACAAAAACAAAACCCAAAACCAGAACTAGGGGATGGTTTATTTTGGCTTGTTGAAATTAGTGTTTTAACTAGTTTTAAATGAGTAAGGATAGGGATGAAAAACCCTTGACTGAGTAGATTTCTATGGTTTATACTTTATATTATCAGGCTTTCCTTGTTGGCAAGGATTTTGGTGCAATCCCAGGATATCTTGCAGCTGCTGTGCGCCCAGAAAGAGTAGCTGCCATCATAACTTTGGGCGTTCCTTTCTTGCTTCCTGGTCCCTCTGCTGTCCAAAACCACCTTCTTCCCAAAGGCTTCTATATTACTAGGTGGCAGGTACAATTTCCAGATGATAACACTCATAATTTCTATATTTTTTTTAGTAGTGGTCATTATTGACTAATTAAATTTTTCAGGAGCCTGGGAGGGCAGAAGCTGATTTTGGACGCTTTCCTGTGAAATCAGTGATAAGAAACATATACACTCTCTTCTCTAAAAGTAAGGTGCCAATAGCACCTGATGATAAAGAAATCATGGATTTGTTTGACCCTTCTACTCCCTTACCTCCATGGTTCTCTGAGGAAGATCTTGCAACCTATGCTTCGTTATATGAAAAATCTGGATTCAGATACGCATTACAGGTTCCTTACAGGTAAACACAACAGATTTCTATGTAATTAATTATAAAGTGGTGTGTAAATGTTTATCACAAGCATATCATTATTTCTATACCTATTATATAAATAATTCTTTTTATTCTCCACTTTAATAAATCATTATATTCTGCATTTGTTAAGAAAAAATAAATAAAATAACCGCTCTAAATAACCATCTATAATTTACCTATTCAATTTATCTCCTTTTATTTTATTTATAATTTATAATTTTTAAAATTGAAGAGACGTAAGTGCATCTTTTTCCGACTAGTGGCTATCCATGTTCTTGGGGGACAGACTTCATTAACATTGCATATCGAATATTTATGCAGGAGTCTGAATGTGGAAACTGGCTTAAGTGACGTGAAGGTTACGATTCCAGCACTTTTGATAATGGGTGAGGAAGATTACGTGTTTAAGTTTCCAGGCATGGAAGACTATATCCGAAGTGGGGCAGTGAAAAACTTTGTGCCGGGGTTGGAAATCATATACATTCCAGAAGGAAGCCATTTTGTGCATGAACAAAATCCAGAGAAGGTGAATCAACTCATCATCGAGTTCCTCGACAAACAAAGTATCTGACTCTGTTTTACTGCTAAAAGCATGTTTCGTTTATGGTTTGTGTCATTTCAATAAACGTTGTAATTTCCACCCTCCACCTCTACACCTTCCAGTTCATGAAAGAGGGTGCATGTTGTATTCAAGTCTGGAACGTTCATAACAAATAAAATCTGAAACTTTGTTCAGAGTTTGATGGCGACAACACAAACAATATATGAAAAACGCTAGCTGGTGGTATAAATAGAAAACCAAAAAAAAAAAAGGAAAAAAAAAAGAAGAAAAAGAAGCTACAAGTCCTGTTAATAATAAAGCAAAACCGTAAGTTAAATAATAAAAATAAACTAAAATCAACTCATCTCACCAAATTATTATTATTTTTTGCTACGTATTACGGGAGGTTAAGATACACAGTTAATTTTAACAGTTCAGAGAAAGGTGCAAAAACAAAACGGTTCAGACAATAATTCGATCCATGTTATTCGAGGCTGTAGCATATCTCTTTTACACACTTTTTTTTTTCTCTTACACAGAGTAGAAAACAAAAATTAATTCAGCTAGTTGTGAATAGAATGTGTACCGTGGTGGTCTCCCATTGGCCGACCATATTGGCCAAGAAGGGAAATAAGAGGGTCTCACAATCTTCCCAACAACAAGAGTTTTCATCCTCGAAAATAGACTTACTTGGGAAAAGAAACGGGTACCGCTCCCTGCACTGCTGCTCCACTTCCCAAGTAGCCTCACCATTGTTCAAGTTCTTCTTCAACCCTCTTCTCCATTTCTCATTCCCGGGAGCTCGGATTTCTTCGTGCCGAGGTAAGGGAAGCTAGTCTTTCGTTTTGTTTGGCTGAAAACGTTCTAAAAACTCTTTGGTGGTATGATGGTTGCTACATTTGAGCTGAGAATCTGCTGGGATAGAGGATTTGGGGGTTTTCGGGTTTTCGGGGTCTTTGGGAAAATTTTTGGGAAAAATCTTGATTTGTGTTTGCATGTTGAAAATGAGGCGTTTTTATGGATATTTGTTGAGAATGGAACTTTTGGCTGGATTGCATGTGAATTTGCTGTTAAGTTTTGCAAGATTTGGACAAATTTCGAACTTGGGGAGAGTTGCTGCTAAGTTCGCGCTGGGCGCTGTTCTTCGCGCTGGGCGCGTGACCACCAGGGGACTCTGTTTAGGCAAGCTCGCCGGGCGCAAAGCTGTGTGCGCCGGGCGAGCTTGCAAATGGGAGTCTCTAGTTGGCCCACGCCGGGCGTGACTTGAGCTGCGTCGGGTGCGATATTAAGGGTGACATGTTTTGGGTACTCTGGTGCCGCGCTAGGCGCGCGTTTGGGCTCGCTGGGCGCGGAGGCTCCTTGGGAGTCTCTTTCAAGAGAGCGCTGGGCGCAATGCGAATTGCGCCGGGCGCGAGACCTTGGTAGGTCTCTGCCTTCCCCACGCTGGGCGCGGGTTAGGCCACGCTGAGCGCATGAGACTCCTTAGAGTCTCTGCCTGGCAAGCGTTGGGCGCACTATCCCAGCAGATTCTCAGCTCAAATGTAGCAACCATCATACCACCAAAGAGTTTTTAGAACGTTTTCAGCCAAACAAAACGAAAGACTAGCTTCCCTTACCTCGGCACGAAGAAATCCGAGCTCCCGGGAATGAGAAATGGAGAAGAGGGTTGAAGAAGAACTTGAACAATCCGAAGGAGGAGAAAAGAAGGTTCCGAAAACTCAGCTAGAAAACCACTGCTACTTCGCACTACCACCTTGAATCAGCAAAATGATGAGAGTGGGTGAGTGTCTTAGAGTTGAGAGGAAGAGAGTGAGTGAGAATGGAAAATGAGAGAAAAGTGGGAGGGTGAAAACAGGAAGGGAAATAAGAGGGTCTCACAATCTTCCCAACAACAAGAGTTTTCATCCTCGAAAATAGACTTACTTGGGAAAAGAAACGGGTACCGCTCCCTGCACTGCTGCTCCACTTCCCAAGTAGCCTCACCGGTAGTTGCATCCCACAGTACCTTCACCAGAGCGATGGACTTGCCCCTCAACTCCTTCAGCTTATGATCCACTACAGCTACTGGTAACTTCTCATATGTCAGGTTTTTCTTGACTTGTACATCGTCCAACTCCACCACATGACTAGGGTCATGAATATATTTCCTCAGCTGAGACACATGAAATACATCGTGTAGGTTTGAAAGAGACGGTGGCAAAGCCAACCGATAAGCAACCGGACCTACACGCTGTATGATCTGATAAGGACCCACAAACCTTGGTGTTAACTTTCTTGCCCTTAGTGCTCTTCCCACAGAGGTCGGAGTCACCTTCAGGAACACATGCTCCCCTTCGGCAAACTCCAAAGGCTTACGCCTCCTGTCTGTCAAAGCCGGTAACATTCTCATTGATTCGCGCGGCACTGTTAAACTCGGCGATTTCGGTGTTTCTGCCTGCCTATTAGATTCCAGCGACCTTGGTGCGAAAAGCACTTTAAGGTCGGCACGAACCAGGACCCACAAACCTTGGTGTTAACTTTCTTGCCCTTAGTGCTCTTCCCACAGAGGTCGGAGTCACCTTCAGGAACACATGCTCCCCTTCGGCAAACTCCAAAGGCTTACGCCTCCTGTCAGCATAAGATTTCTACCTACTCTGAGCAGTCTTCATCTTCTCCTAGATCATCTTCACCTTCTTAATAGTCTGCAGGATCAGCTCCGGTCCCACAACTACTGATTCCCCATCTTGATACCAGCATAAAGAAGTCCTACATCTCCTGCCATATAAGGCTTCATACGGTGTCATCCCAATGCTCGCATGAAAACTGTTGTTATAAGTAAACTCCACCAGCGGTAGGACCTCCTCCCAGCTACCCAAGTGGTCTAACACACAGGCCCTCAGCAGATCCTCCAAGGACTGGATCGTCCTTTCTGACTGACCATCCGTCTGTGGATAATAACAAGAACTCAACTTCAGCTTCGTGCCTAGGGCTTGATGTAAACTCTGCCAAAATCTGGAAGTGAACCTCGGATCTCGGTCAGAAATAATACTAGAAGGCACTCCGTGCAACCGTACTATCTCTTTCACATACAACTGTGTCAGCTTCTCCAAGGATCACTTGATGTTGACAGGCAAGAAATGCGCACACTTGGTCAACCGGTCAACAATCACCCAAATAACATCACTATTCCTAGCTGACCTAGGCAACCCCACAATAAAGTCCATAGTAATGCTATCCCATTTCCACTCGGGAATCTCCATCTGTTGCATCAACCCACTCGGCTTCTGATGCTCAACCTTCGCCTTCTAACAGGTCAGACAGGCCGCCACATACTCAGCGATCTCCCTCTTCATACCAGACCACCAGAAAGTCTTCCTGAGGTCTTGGTACATCTTAGTCATACCCGGATGTACGCTAAGTCTGCTCTTGTGACCTTCCTCCAACACAGCTCTCTTCAGCTCAGCATCCTGAGGTAGGCAAATTCTGCCCTTAAACCTCAAGATTCCATCTCCTCCCAGCTCAAAGCCAACAACCTTCTTGGTACCCAGCAAACCAAGAAGCTTCACCAGCTCAGCATCTTGCAACTGCTTAAGTCCAACCTGCCTCAAGAACTCATTAGTTATGGTAATCATCCCACAACTAATGTGATCCTGAGCTAACTCCACACAGAGATTCAAATCTCTGAACTCCTCAACCAGCTCCAGCTCCTTCATCATCATACTAGACATGTGGATGGATTTTCTACTTAGCGCATCTGCCACCACATTGGCCTTGCCCGGATGATACATCAACTGAAAGTCATAATCCTTCAGAAACTCCATCCACCATGAATATATTTCCTCAGCTGAGACACATGAAATACATCGTGTAGGTTTGAAAGAGACGGTGGCAAAGCCAACCGATAAGCAACCGGACCTACACGCTGTATGATCTGATAAGGACCCACAAACCTTGGTGTTAACTTTCTTGCCCTTAGTGCTCTTCCCACAGAGGTCGGAGTCACCTTCAGGAACACATGCTCCCCTTCGGCAAACTCCAAAGGCTTACGCCTCCTGTCAGCATAAGATTTCTACCTACTCTGAGCAGTCTTCATCTTCTCCTAGATCATCTTCACCTTCTTAATAGTCTGCAGGATCAGCTCCGGTCCCACAACTACTGATTCCCCATCTTGATACCAGCATAAAGAAGTCCTACATCTCCTGCCATATAAGGCTTCATACGGTGTCATCCCAATGCTCGCATGAAAACTGTTGTTATAAGTAAACTCCACCAGCGGTAGGACCTCCTCCCAGCTACCCAAGTGGTCTAACACACAGGCCCTCAGCAGATCCTCCAAGGACTGGATCGTCCTTTCTGACTGACCATCCGTATGTATAAGCGATATAAAGTCCAGTTTAATACTGTATTCGATTTGCATGAATAAAATAAAAAAGAAACACATGGAGTCCAAACCATAATTACTCATTAGTTTTAGGGTGAGGCTGAATTTTGACAGTGAGCTAGCAGAACCTTAGGAGTAGCAAAAAAAAAAGAATAATAATTCCAAACAATGGTCATTAGGCATTCTAGGCTAATGAGTTTCTTATTTTCCATATTACAGTGCATTGAGCAAAAAAAAATGGCAAGTAACTAAAGAAGAAGGAAATTAGTAAAGTGAAAGTGAGTTACAAAGTAAAAAACGTAAATGAAAAAGAAGAGAGTTCAAAGAAAGAGAAGAATTTGATGATTGATTGTGCGGAGAAGAGAGAGACCACATACGAGAACGAGTGAATAGACGGCACAATCGATGAAGACAGCATCGGCCACGCTGCGCAGCAGGAGACAGAGTTCCAAGGTCTTGGCGAGTTGCCCTAAACCCTCTCCAGAAGAGCCCCTGTTTTGGGCAGAAAAGAGGTAGGCAATGAGAAGCGTTAGATTAGTGAGGAGAAGCAAGTAGAGCGGTCGAAAGCTTATTGGGATCCCAAAGCTGTAAGATGCGAGCACTAGAAGGGCCACCAGAACCGAACAACAAAGACGCCTACCCCTGGAGGCGTAGATGGCACCACTTATGTCGCTTGGGGTTATCAAACGTTGGCTCCGAGGTTGTGGTTGTAATCGGACAGCTTCAGGTTGGGGTTCCGGTTCAGGTTGGGGAGTAGGGGCGGTTGAGATCTCGGGCTGAGGGGGTGGTTGGGGGTGGTGGACTGCAAGCAAAGCAAAGAGGGGAAATTAGAATAGTTGAAAAGGAGAAGTAAGAGAGTGATGGAAAAGAGAAGATACCAGAAGTGGTGTTTGGATCGGGGAGTCTTTGGATACGACCCGTGATGAAAGCCAGACGGTCGGATCCTTCTTGGAGGATTCTTCTTCGTCTTCGAGCGTCTCTGCTCTTCTCTTCTGCCATTATTCTTCTCAACTCTCTTTCCTCTCCGGCTCAAATCTAAACTATTCCTTACCCCCAAATTTAACCATCTTAAATATCTTTTTAATTCATACAAAAATCACACTTTTTATTTTATATTTTTATAACAAAATATTTTTCATTCTTTAAAAATTTATAAATAAGTTGCTAAAAAATGTTAATAATATTTTTAGTCCTTATCAAATAAGTAAATTTTCATTTTAATTTCTAGAATTTTTTCTCTCTAAAATTTAGGAGTGTTATATTCTAATGTAGTATTTCTAGTAGTTGCAGATAAGATTGTTTTTTTTTGTTCCGTCCCTGGAGTGATTAATCTCAAATATCCACCTCAAAGATTCACTGCTAATAATAGGCGTTACTAATCTCCTCGCTACGTTGGAGCACCACATAAGGCAGGATTCGAACTTCTGACTTTGCTTAAGCGTGAATTAACCCCTACTGTTAAACCACACGCTTGGGGTTAGTCGTAGATAACATTTGAATGATCATTTAATCTATTAATAAAGAATTAAGTAGTTAAAAAAAATGATTATATTAAAATATTCTAAATTTTAGAGGATGGAAAATAAAAAAATTAAAAAACCTAAATTAAAACTTACTTATATAAGAAGGACTAAAATTATATTTAAATAATTTTTATTTTATATATTTAAAAAATTATGCCATATAAAATTATTTTATTTTATTTTCCTCTTGATAAGAAATTTTATCAACCGCTTCTTTTAATTCCTTAAATAAGGAAAACTAATTTAGTTAAGAGTAAACCATTACCCTCTTTTCTAAATAGTTGTTAAATTATTAAAATTATATAAATAATTTTTGAACTGTTAGAAATTATGTTATATTGTCCTTCAACTTTTTCAAGAAATTTAAATTAATTTCTCTGTACTAGTAAAATAAACCAAGAGAATAAATTGATGCATAATCAATATTTTATAGACTATATAATTTTATTGGTTTAAAGATTATTTAGGAGAGAAAAATGATACTTAAACAACTGAATTATAGTTTATTTATTATTAATATCGAGTACCTAACATATCCTGGTGATTGTTCCTTTTATTTTTTATAAAAATAATCTATTTGCTTAAAAACAATTATCATTTCAAAAACGTTGAATACATATATCTATAAAAATTAATAGTAGATGAATTCCATTGTTTTGAAGAAAAATTGCTTGCACCTTAACATTACTTTTTTTTTTAATTTTATACTTTTTGCTGAATTTTTAGCTTAATAGTTAATACATAATTTTATTTCTCAGTTTTTATATTTATTCTCATAAAAGGATACTACCTTAATTATCATGTTTTGGTACTTTTATCAATTATTTTTTTTCATTTAAATATGATTGTCGACTCTTATTTAAATATTACAGCAGTCGAAAACATTTTTTTTATGTTTTTTTTTTGTTGTTTGTTATTTAATAATATTTTTTTTACCCATTTCACGATAAATGTCGTATTAAAAAATAAATTTCAAAATAAGTAGCATGTTAATTTTTTAATATAATATTAATTAATTATTTGTTATTTGTATTTTTAATTAAGTAACTATTAATTTGTATTATTTTTAAAAAATTGCAAGATTAATTTTATAAAAAATATTGTTTAATCTATGTATTAATATTTTTTAAAATATATAATAACTTAAAACAAGACTTCGAAGAAATATCACATTTTAATAATTGCGTTTGTCTTCGGTAAAAAAAAAATAAAAAATAAAAATAGTTACGCTTGTCTGCCACATGTTAACCATCACGGATTAAGATCCTCTGCGAAACTGCATGCATCCTAGCCCTCGAAATGGTATATATGTTTTAATAAAAAATTACAAATAAATATGTGCTGTTTAATAAGAAGCTTTGGATCAAAACTGCACAAGGCGCAAGTTCATTTTTGAACTCTGGTGGATCTTTATCCTAACCATCACATATTTAATTACTTGCTTAATGAAACAAATATATATAAGGATGTTGTTTATTTAGCTTTACTTTATGTAAGGATGCTGTTTGATATTTGGAGGCGTCAAGAATCTTTTGCCTATTTGAGCTTCACATATCATTGTAATTTGCAACCCATGGCCAAGTCTTTATACAAAGCACACAATCCTGAAACCCATCCCAATTTCTCGAATATGAATCCTTTCAAAAGTAACTGCACCGGGTGCACTGTTTAGATCCACCGCTTTTCTCACTAACAGCACACATTTATATGGTTTTTAATAAAACATGGCTGAAATGCATGCAGTTTGAAAATATACCGCAGAGGATTTTAATCCCAATTTCTCAAGACAAACTCCGTCACCACTACAGCTCCAGGCTCCAGCACAGATCATTGGTCATTGATTTCCACGGTATGAAGAGAGTCCAAACTTGCACAACTAGGTAGTACGTGTTTGTCGTTTGAGTGCACGCAAAACAAACAAAAAAATAAAGAAATTTACACAATCAAGTTCGCACATAACTCGAAATTTATATGAGGATTATACATATCCTACATAGGCTGGCTCTCAATTATTTTGACTTCATTTACATATGAGATACGGTTATACATAAGTCCTCATTTCCAAATTATGTAGATTCTCACAGTTCATAAGCTGGAAATTTAGAGAGGGAAGGATTAACCATGTCCAAAAAGAGATAAGCCATGCCTCCTACCCCTTCAAACAATGAATATGGTCTATCACCTCCATGCATTTCTCCTCGAGATATCAGCTTATGAGCTCTGTCAAGCAAAAAGCAAGCAAAAGCTTTGGCCCTGTATAAATACTTCACATTCCCGGTAAGTTGGTACAGTGACAGAAACACATACGCATTCCCACTAATACCATGGCATATCCCAACTTTCTTGAGCAGACCACGGTTCCAAACCACCTCTCCTGCTTCCGTAGCTGCATCCAAGAATTCTTTATCTCCAAAAACCTGTGATAATTGGTCCATGATAGCAAAAACATTCAACAAACAAAATTCAATTTGAAAAAAGTATATATACTTCTGTTTTATGATGCACAACATAGGTGTCCAGTGTATTTATATTGGAAAATGATACCTAAACGTTATGCATATCAGCATGACTGTATGACAATGCTCAACATGAAAAAATAGATGAAATCAATGGTTGCATGGACTTCACACAAAAGTTTTTGCGAACCATTACGGCCATTCTAGTTGTGAGGAATTGGAGTAGTTGCTGTGACCGTAATTCCTACCGATTAAAAAAATAGACATCACACAAAACAAAAGTGCTTCTACAATGATATCATTTCACAAAGCAACACAAAAAATTGATCAAGAAAAGGCATTTAATCAATGCGATAAAACTGTCTTTCAATGATCATGTTAATTGTTCTCAAGTGAGTACAAGTTATCTATCACCTTAGCTGCTTTGACAAGTGTGAGTGCCATTCCAGGAGCTCCATGACACCAATGCACAAGAGCATCGTTCCTCCTATCTTGTTCAGTAGCAGGATAGTTTCCACTGGGAAAGCGATTGCTTATCATGTACTTGAGAGTTCCCCTAAGGTCCTCAAGCTCATCTGGCTTCAACTCCATATCCATGAGCACATGCATAATCCCAGCCAAGCCATGTGCAGCACCCCAATACTTCTCCCCATACCATTCAAACATCAAGGGGCATCTTCCCTTCCTTCCCAACGCCCTTCCATTTTTAATCACCTCATCCACAACCATAGCCTGAAAACATTTTCCACCCCATTGCACTTATTAATATTCACTCCTCTCCCAATTCAACACACAACAAAGTCAAAAATCAGAAGAACAGTTAAGAGACGAAACCCACAGTATAACTGGAAGGAACTGTCCCCTGACCAAGGTGCTTGTTTAAGAACAAACACGCCCATAGAAAACCAACTCTCCCGTATAACAACTCGTCAGGAAGATCCTTTGAAAGCTTAATCTGCACCCCAAAGGGACTACAAGTTGTTAATTATTATTAATTACTGCATCATTAATTCTCAAATAGCAACAATAAATACCTTTTCAAACTGAGCCAAGTAGTAGCTCAAGGACTGGTGATCGCCAGCGTGCTTTGCAGCCACGGCTCCGAGAGAGCACACACCAGCGCGCCCGCATATGAAGGTCACGTCACTGTCACCGGTTCATTCAAAGTGTGAACCCTTACACGAAAATGGAAACGGTAAAAGGGTAGCGAAGGGAGAGAGAAGAACCTGGAACGAAGGGAAGCGGCGTCGCAAGCCTTCACAATCTGGGAGCAGAGGGCAAGGTCGTTCCCGTTGCCGGTCACTTGGTAGGACTTGAAGAGCAGAAAAGCGGTGCCCAGTAGGCCGCAGTAGAGAGTGTAGTCGCGCTCGCTCACGTGTTGCCCGGTCACTCCCCACGTTTCTATCACTATCTGCCACGAAACCGCACACGTGTTGTGAGAATGCAGAAGCGTGCGTAACATACAACAAAGAGAGGGGTAGGGTTGGGTTGGTTACGACTTACGGTTTCTTTGAGGTCGAGAGCGGCGCGTTTCAGACGCTCCCAGAGTGGCGCTTGGGGCATGGCGAGGAGCTTCGGGAGCGAGTCGCCCACTGTGAGAGCTTCTTCTTCTTCCTGCGGGGTCGACGGCGTCGTTTCGGCTACGAACTCCGGCATAGTGTTCGGGAAGAACCGATCCGCCATTGCTTCGGCTCTGAAGATTCTAGAAGAAGAGTGAACAGAGGAAGAAAAGTTGCGAGCTTTGTTTTAAAGCGACGTCGTTTCGGTTGTGATTCTGGTTTCGGAGTCTGACCTGTCAGCCTACTATTCTGACACGTAGTTGGCATCTGTGCATTCGTGGCATTCAAAAGTTGGAATGTTTATCGGTTCTGTAACGAAATAAAAAAAATAAAAATATAATTTTCATATATTATTATACACAAGATCTTATTTTAGAAACTCTTAAGATTATACGCTAGAGATCTTAGAGTTGAACCAAGAGTGTAGACTACATAAACAAGGTTTGTGTTAAAAAAGAAGCTCATAAATTGTGAATATGACACGAGATGAAGAGAGAAGGGGCATATTAGTAATTAGATTAACTAATGTGGATCAACAGCACCAATCCTATACGGCTACAATTCAGAATCCAAAGCTTGAGGGAACCTCCAATACGTCCCTCAATGTCTTCCCCACCCAAAGAAGACAAAAATGCAAGAGATGTATTAGTGATTTGAGGAGTCATGTGACCCCAACTTGGTAAGGGTAAATATCATAGTTCATGATAGAATTAATGAAGGGCTTCCATAGAAGAATGGCATTAATATTTTTAATCTGATATGGTGAAAAAACGTTCCGGAACAAATAAAAACACAATGCAGGATCACCTAAATTTATTATGTATATCAACTTGCACTTAGAACAAAGTAGCATTTTGTTATTTAATTATAGGCGGTACTATGTTACAATGTAGTTAGGATAATATAAATGCTTATCCTCTCCACTACTTAAAAAATATTTAGATATAAATTTAAAATATTGATCCAGAAACTTTGCTGTTTTAAAAATGGGCTTGGAACTTGAAAGAAATGGAATTAATTGACTTCAAATCAAACTATGAGCATGTTTGGATGCATGTCCAGGATCGACATCCAAGCAAGAATCACATCAAATTAATGGGGAAGTTAATCTTTATTACTTTTACTGGATGTGGGGAGAGATTGATGATCCACATTTTGGATTTGATTCCAAACGCACACTTTGTCTTACCATGGAGTGGAGAGGAGGATTTAGTTCTCGGTGGGAAAAAGCTCAAGCAAACAAACTAAATCACAAGATGGAAAAGGAACTAAGTTCTTCATATGACTACTTATAAAGGACATTACTTTTCAGATAATTACATATTCCGTCAATGATTGCCTTTTGATCAACGGAATCTTAAGGATAGGGATCAAAGGTTACCCTTTGCTTAACTTTTCCCCCCATCATTTTTACCACAGCCATGAACCAATGTTTGATCATGAATCATGAGCAAATATACAATTAAGTTTGTGCTCTTTGACAACCGATTTCACTAATCATAGTTTACAATTACAGCTCAAAGTTAAAAATTCAAGCCTTCTCCCCAAAACATATCCTATCTAGTGTTCTGAATCTACTCATCCTTAAACTGTTTTCCTTCAAATGTCTGTCCAAAGAGCCAGTTTGCGGGTGCTACATTGTAAGATGTGAGTGTTTTTCCACTGCTGATGGTTACCTCAAAGGACAAAGGCTGACGTTGGAAGTTGAAATTGCAATGCCAGTTTTGTCCCCAGTTCCTTGACATTGGTATCCATCCTGTTCTAGATCCCTTCACTTTTACAGCAACCACTTCACCATCCAGCCCCACATTAGAAATCAGGACTTGATAGAAGTGTGAACTCCCACTCATTGTGAATCTCAAACCACCACTTCTTTCACACTTTACCCTGCAATAAACTTAAACATTAACATGGTAAATTTAAGAGTAAAATGTGTTTTTAGGTCCTTTTACTTTTTGGTCTTAATCCCTATATCTTAAAAACAATGATTTGGTCCCAGTATTATTTATATTTGGTAAATTTCCTCCCTATAACTATTAACAAGACAAAGTTGAGAACCTAAAACACATTTATTTAGCACTAAATTTAATCAACTCTATCTTTGAAACTTTAATCTTGGTTACCTTCTATACTGAACCGGCACAATATCAGCTTTTTTCTTGGCAATTTCAGCAAATGCAGCCTGTGACATCTCAAAATGTTCTCTTGGAAAATTACACCCCCCACCATAATCAACTGAAAGGCCATAATTAGGAGCACAGAAATCTGTAACAGTTACAACCACAGAAGGGCTTCCCATGACACACCACAAGATGTGGTCAACACATCTGATTTCATAGCAAGCTCCACATGTGCTCCCTCTGCTGAACAAAATGGTGCTTAACCCTGCACTGTGCTTCCCATAACTGGCCCTGTGGAGGTCTCCATAGCCACAAGCTCCTTCTGCAACACATGGCACAAACACATTGTCAGAAACATGATGGTGTTTTTATCCTGAGACTATGTTAAGAACCAAGGAGCAAGAGAAGTAGTACCGGTGATAAGAGACCCCTCTGTGTCATTGGCATAAGTTGCAGTGGCTTTCCTCCATTCTTGGTCCTTGTAAGCAACAATCTTGAATGAATGTAGTAAAATCAAGTAGAGAAGGGAAGAGTGAAGAGCACCCATCTGAGATAATGGAGTTTAGAAACTGATTATTACTTTAAATTGTAATACTTTTAAGTGTATTATGTTTTTGTGATATGTGGGGCTGAGAGGACTAAAGAAATAGTAAAAAGGGGTTCTTTTTCTAACTGCAAATGATCACTCCTCCTTGCTATAGATGGAGATATAATGGATGTTTTGGTCCCATGGAAAACTCAATAATATTATATATAAAAATAAATTTTATTTTTTTGTTTTTGTTCTGGAATTCAAGAATGTACATTAAAATTCTTAAAAGCATATTCATAACTTTTATCTTAACATACCCATAATATATGTTTGGATTAAATTTGGAAAAAAAATTATTTTGTAAATTGAGATTTTTTTTGTCTGTATAATACATTAATGGAGTTTGTATCTATGATCTCAAATAAACTATACAAACGGTTTACTGTTATACCAATCTTATAGAGTTATTTTATAAATTGTGTTTACGAAAAAAAAAATTTCTATTGCAATTTGAGTTTTAAGGTAAAATTAAAACAAAACTTATAATAAATTGTTGATTAAAAAAGAATTTAAATTCAGATATTATCAATGAAAATATGTAATTAAAATGAAAAACTTATTAAATGTGACCAATTAAATTTTTTTATAAAAATTGCTCATTAATGAAGTAAATAAATACTTCTTAAAAAACACAAATATGATGGATAAAAGAAGAAACTTAGTTTACAACTGAAAAGTGTGAAAACTAACAAGAAACTTGTGGCCTCTCTAGTCCTAACCGAAAATCAAACATACATGAACAGAAGCATAAGCATTGACAAATTTGAGCAATGGATCATTAGTTTCCAAATTGTAGGGTCATTGAAAGAAGGCGAGAAACAAGGTAATTTGTTGGTCATTCCGAGGAGAGTTTGTCTGTTTTCATGCTTTTGTATTGTCTCTTCTTTTTAGGCGAGGAGTGAATTAAGAGTCCAACTCGAAAAGGAGGGTTTGGAGCCTGCAATTTGGATGTAGTTGATCCATGACATAACATAAGATAAGAGAAGGGTTTTGTGCTTTGTGGTGGTGGCAGACACGCAAAGCGGAAAGCTCTACTGTTACTCTTCCATTGTGGAACCTTGACTGCCAAAGCACTGCTTTATTAATCATTTTGTTTCTGGGACATCCACTGTTTTAAGGATTTGGTTGCTTCGTTTCTGCTTTATTCTTTTTTCATATTAAATGTTTTTCATTACATTCATAATATAATTTTTCATTAACTATTATACACTTAATTTCTCTATCCTTAGTGACATTTTTAGTTCCAAGAAAACAAATGTTGATAAATATTCTCATCGATAATTGGTGTTGTTATTGTAAACAATTAATATTACTTTTTATTATATATTATTAATACAGAAATTGTGTTATTAATACATACTAATTGTTAGTTAAACTTAAAAATATTAATAGTACATGTTAGTTAAAATATTGTTTATTAAATAAGAAGTTATATATACATTTTTTTAAGAATATACAACATTTAAAATGAGTTGAGACAACTCATAATATAAAACGCTCAAGTTTTCGAAATATACCATTTTGCTTAGGCCTTCAACGTTTTTCAGTAATTAATTTTTGGTAGAATTGAAAGTTAAGAATTGAATGATTATATATTGTTAATGTAAAAAAATATCTACTGTAATATGAATTTTAAGATTATTATTATAAAAATTAATAAATTGCCTAATTTAGTCTCTTATTATAATTGTTTGTTTCAATTTAGTCTCATTTTAATTTTTTTGTCTCAATTTAGTTCCTAATAAATTAAATTGTTGCAATGTCGGACTTCCGTCCAAATTATTTAAACGGAGTTAATTGTTGGTCACGTGGATGCCACGTAGATGCATAGGTGGATGCCAAATTTTTCTAATGCATCTGGAACCAGAACGGCCCGTTCTTAAATCAGAGGTTGCACATATTGTGTGTTAATTTTGAATTTGAAACGGGCCGTTCCATACGCAAAATTAACACACCACGAGTGCAGCTAGGGGTGGGTATATGGACTTGAGTCCGCGGACCGGTCCGTAAGTCCGCGGACTTCACGGATAACGGGCCCATTTTTTTTAATCCGTATAATCATACGGACTTTTTAGGTCCGGTCCGTTTAGTCCGCGGATTTTACGGATTTAATCCGCGAGCCCGCGGATTACCCGTTTAAATGTGGACTCAAATTTTATTATTGAAGATGCTTGATTATATTTGATAGATGTAATTGGACTTACAAATGTTTTATGTTTGTTTTTAAGATATTAATTAAGACTTTGATGTTTTAAGGTATTTAGACTTTGATGTACTTGGACTTAGAAATATTTTATATTTGTTTGGTTGTGTATTAAGACTTTTAAAGTTTTAAGGTAGTAAGACTTTAATATTTGGTTAATAGTTGGTATGCTTGGACTTTAAATTTTAAAGGCATTGAGACTTAAATATTTCTATTAGAAATTTAGAATGTGTAAACTTTGTTATTTAAGACTTTGATTTATTATTTACAATGTTTGATGTTATTATTAGAAGTATATTTATATCATTTTATATGTTTTTTTTTCCTCATGTTTTCATAGGTTAAATAAAGGAAAAAAAATTTAAAATCTGAGTCAATATTCATTTAAACAATTTAGATTTAATTGGGCCCGCGGACTTATCCGTTTATCCGCGGGCTTCACGGGCCGGATACGGACTTGAAGATTTAAGTCCATTTATTTCGCGGACCGAATTTATCCGGCTCGTTAAAAATGTGGACTTCGCGGACCGGGCCTTAAACAGGCCGGACCGGTCCGCATACCCACCCCTAAGTGCAGCAGAACGAGCCGTTCTAAATCCAGAACGGGCCGTTCTGGTTTTAGAACGGGCCGTTCTGGTTTTAGAACGGGCCGTTCTAGATTCAGAACGGGTCGTTCAAATGCCAACCACAAACGTACGTTCAACAAAATGTCGCAATGTGATTCAAAAATAAAAAATAAAAATTCATAACATATCATAAATTCAAAGACAGAAATATGGTGCAGAGACTGAAAACAAAAATTCATAACATAACATAACATATACTAAAAACGTTCAAAGAAATAACTGAGAAGGGAAATCATCTAGGGAACGCTGAAGGTGTCAATAATACATCTTATCTACCATATAACATTGAATGACTAATAGGATATCAGCATTATCTACCTGTACATGTGGTTGGGTGGTGAAATGTTTGTCCTGTGTATCCTCTTCCTTTACTTCATGTTGTACCTCCTCAAGAACAGGTTGTTGTTGTTGGGGTACATCGGTTAATGACTTCAAGGGGAAACACCATGTCGTTTCATCCTTGATTGTATAGTGTCAATTTGGTAGTAAGTGGTTTACTCCAGTTTGACTAACAATGAAATAAAACTTGCTACCATTATCTTTAGTGATACATTACATTGTCCTTAATGATACACTGTATAGCCTAAATGTTTAGCAATTAAAGTTATCAATCCCCATTGACAACATTATCAAATTCAATGTTTGAAATGCTTTGTACCTTGGGTCTTTTTTCTTGCACGATTCACAACCGTGAACTATAATCATCGACCGTTTGTGTTTGACATTTTAAACCAGAACGGCCCGTTTTGGTTGCACTTTTTGTGTGTTAATTTTGGACTTGGAACGGCCCGTTTCAGGTGCAAAATTAACACACCAAGAATGCAACCAGAACGGGTCGTTCTGGTTCTAGATGCATTAAAAAAATTTGGCATCCACCTATGCATCCACGTGACATTCACGTGGCATTCATGTGGCCAACAGTTAACTCCGTTTAAATAATTTGGACGAAAATCCGACATTGCAACAATTTAATTTATTAAGAATCAAATTGAGACCAAAAATTAAAGTGAGACTAAATTGAAATAAACAATTATAATAAAGGACTAAATTAGGTTTTTAGCTGTAAATTTATTATATATGAGTAATTTATAGATAATAGTGTAATTTTACATTATTAATGTATAGCGTTTTTTTACTTGAAAGTTAATTCAAACACACACTAATTGTACACTTAATTCTATTAAAAAAATCATATGAAGAATTTTATATTTATTAAGAAAAATAGTTTAAACATTTATTGAAAATTTTAGTATAAAATTTCCAGCTCAACACATTAAAATTAAAATTATACAATTTTAGTTGAATAAACTTTTATCCTTCATTATGTTTGGATGAGAGAAAATTAAAAAAGGAAAAATGAAATTTTAATTGAGGAGAAAATATTAAAAATAAACTTTTTTCTTCATGGTTGTTTGATTTATATAACCAATCTAAAATTTTGATGTCCTTTTCGACTTCTAAAATTTTTGACAACTTTCTAGATGATTTTACGAAGAATTGTTTAAGAAAGTCGCTTTCTACACCAGTTCATAGTACAATTGAATTAGAAAATTCATTATAAGTTTTCTAATTTCATTAGCGCACTTATATTATAATTCTTATTTCAATTTTAAAATTTTCACTCTTTGCTTCCAAGACGTTTTAGGGAAAAGATAATTTAATCGAGACACTCATCTTTCTCTATATAAATATACTTTGAATTTGCATTTTTCTAAATAAATATGTCATTTTCATTTTTCTAAATGTGTGTATTCATCTTTCTTTCAAACTCTAGTCTCATGAGATAGATGCATATCATTCTTCCCTTCATGAGATAAATACCTTTTCTCTCTTTCTTGTAATGTTTTCACGAGTTTAACCAATCTTGTCACAAGTTGAACTCATTTTGTCATTACTAACTGGTTGTAAACATTAGTCTCAGAAATTTGACCCAATTTATCATTACTAATTGTACTTTTTGTGATAGGTCTATGTTGCAGAACTTTATGTTGTCTGTCCTGTATATGATGTGCTTGGTACCTATCTAAAAATTTACATTACCTTCACGTTTGTCATTCCTCATATTTTTACCATACTCTATAATATAAAGTTTGGCTATTTTCTTTGCAATCTTTGTTTTTGTAACGAGTTCATTTATATACAACTTTTTTTTTGTAAGCTTTTTAAAATTATTATATTATAGGAGTTTTCATCGTGATGAATGAATAGCTTGTTTCACCAACCATTCCTTGAACATGATGTGGCTCCTAATAATGCATGTATATTATAAAGTATAAATTGATCTGCCAAGGCCAAAAGGCAAATGATTTCAACTAACAAAACCACTGCAACCTACCTTCCTCTCCAAATCATATAGAATATTGGATTGACATCCCAATCATCATACAATCAACTAAACACTATATATTGCAAGAACAAGAAAAACGTTATGTTCCTTTAACAATTGAATTATGATTGAAAAAATAAAATGTAGAAAATAGTACCTGACATGAAAATTGTTAGTAATGGAGTCAATCCAAAGTGTGCATTATAATTTGAAAATAGATATCTGAATAATACGAAAAGAAAAGAAACCAACTCTTGCCAAAAGCAAAAACAATGTGGATGAACTCTGTAGTAACCCCCTATTCGTATTTGGGCTTCCAACAATGTACTAATCCATAAACGAATTATTAGAAACCAAAATCTTGTGTAGTTATTGTAGAGTTAAAAAAGTGAGAGGTGTTTATACAATCTTGCGAAACTCTGAAGAGTGTTTATAATTTAGTCAATATTTTAACTTGAGAATAATTTTTCAATGTTAAGCAAATTATAAAATTACCAAATAACTTTAACTTTAAATTTGAGCTGTTATTTTTATCTTTAACTTTAAAATAAATAATAAGCTGCAAAAATGTCAAACTAAACACTAGCAATGGTATGTTTGGATTATCATTTGAGATGCTTCAAACGTCATGCAGAAAATGTAGAAGCAACAATGAACTATCTTTGAGAAAATGTTCTAGATATCCATATAGGTTTAAATATGAAATAGTTTATGGGAGAAAAGTACCCTTGACTTATATATAGCACGGTAAACTCTGCCTCCATAGATTTGTTCTCAACACCCTAAGTCCTATTTTTCTTTTTAATTTTCTAATCGTTTTGTCTGTTTGCACGCAATAATCACGATGATCAAGACGAAATTTTCAACCAAATCCAACTAGTTTCTTTTCAATCATCTTAGCTGATTTCATCATAAAGGTAGGGGGAAGGAAGCTTTATTTTTTTTCATGGGGCTTGAGAATGGGTACGAAGTGTTGATTTTTTTTAAGACAAAAATGCTTTTTATGCACATTTTATCTTTGAAAATTAGTTTAACTTCAAAAAGAATTTGGAAATCTCGACCCTAAAGATTCCTTAGTCCATATATCATCTAGCAAAATATCAATTTTATCCTTGAAGTATTAATTACTCTATCATTTTTTTAGGATATATATTACTCTATCTCTTTATTATGTAGTTCTTAAAGAAAAATAAATTAACTCTTAAGTCATATTAGAAATATATTAGAAATCATAATTAAGAAAAAACTACAAAATGTTGATTTTATGTAGAGGGGGTCAAAACCAAACCTAGATTCCTAATTACCAAATTCGGCCAAAAATTACGGAACAATGTACAATTGATGTTTGAGGAAAAAATACATCTAAAAAGTAGAGTTTGGGTTCTTGACACCAAACCAATTCATTTGTGCATAACACCTATTTTTCTTATTAAAAATGATTGCATCCATCATACTACATTTGTAAGATTCCCCTATTTAAATCTGTCAATCGTTCAATTCTTCCATCTTTCTTTGTGATAACTTTACAGGTAGTGTTATCAAGGAATCCCATGCTTACAATTTTCCATTTCGTCGATGAGTAATGCTATTTTCACAATAATTTTTTTTATAACAACGAGATATATAGAAATAATATATAAATTAAGATAGATAAAATTAAGTATTACAAAAAATGTTGCGAGAATAACGTTATTCTTCATTAATTGATGACGTACTTGAAAGAACCATATTACCTATATTTGTGAGTAATAATTATGGAAACTAAAGAAGTCATGCATTATTTAGTTGGAAGCCTTAATTGATTATTCACGTCTCATACTACAGATGCCGCTACAAAGGAACCAACGGTAACATATAAGGCTAATGTTAGCAAAATGATTTTTAAAACCAAGTGAATATTGGAAATAGGAATTCTCCTTTGCGAAATCACAACACTTTCAATTTAAGATTTTAATGGAACTTGAGATACTTGGTTGGAAATCAAGTTAGACTACCGCTTGAGCTCTTGTCAAAGTCCTTTCAAATTTTGTTGTTGCGTTTTGCTTTAAAACTTTTGCACATGAAAAACTAACCCGTTTTGAGTTGGCATGCATTAGGCGAATAGAGTTGAAAATTGTGTGTTTCCAATTAAAAGCTACATTATTTTAACACTGTTTTTTAACTGTAAAAAAGTTTCATAAAGTAGTATGATGTGATAATAGACAAGGTAAATCTGGCATGGTAACGAAATACCTGTCTTTAATGATCTTGCCAAGTGGAATCACCTTTTATTTTAGTCAAAATGGAAATTAATTAATGAAATGAGAGCTAAGAACGAAACTAGCCATAAGGACCCACAATGTGGAGTTTATCACGAGATCATCAAAATCAAATCAAGTTAAAACATTCAATGGGTCCAGAACAAACATGAAATGAAATATCCATTAAAACCCTAAGGGGACCATTACACTTACACACATTCAACTCCACATGGAATTTAAGGATACTACACTACACGCTCTCTCTCCAATTTGGAGAGGGCTACATTACATTTACTTCCAACAGTTACAACACACCAGAAAAGTAGGTATACAAATTCAATATGTAAAAAATAAGAAAGGAGAAGGACCATTGGATGCCCTTGTGCACTCCAAATGGCTACTTTTCTTATCAAAAAAAAAAAGGGAAGGGGGTAATAAAAAGTAAAGGAACTAATGTAGTATATAATATATAGCAAACAATGGAAAGAAAGTTGGAAGCCCATGAAGACTATTTTTGCGTTATGGGACATGACCAGCCTTTAACTAGTTGAAATGTACTTATTAATAATTACCCACTTTGAGTTTGAGATGAAGAAGCCTTGGCTTGTGACTAGGGGTAGAAGTTTAGGCGAGAGGTGTAAGTTGCCTTTGGAACCCAATTGCTCGGAATAACATCTCTTGCAGAGAGGCTCCTCCCAGAGGAAGAACTCAACTTCACAGAGAATGGTCCCCTTAAAGGTCCCCCAATAATGCACCAATTTGCACCCCATAGGTGATTCATCTGCAGCCACTCCGTAGACCCTGCCTGGCAATAGCAAAATACAATAACTAAGTAAACAATATAATAAAGCAAGCCTCGTTTTTATACTGTAAAATTTGGAAATAAAACAAATTGGGGTTGACCCCACCTATATTACCAGAGGCAGATATTATATGTAGGGATTAACCGTATACTAGTATAGGCACTATTTAATTGGTTTGTAAACAGAGATCACATCAACACTTAATTGTTTAATTTGTTTTGGTAATTTAGTTCCTAAACGACTCTAAGTCCTTTCATGTAGTGGGGGAGAAGTGAGGATTGTTACTGTTAACATTGGTCCCATGTCACATGCTTTGAGTTCAGAAAAGACAGGAAAAGCACCACCATAGCAAGTTGTCAATGTCACCGTTATACATATATGAAGAAAATAACCCACCGATAAATATTTAATAGGAGAGAAGAAACTCTACCAATCGGAACCAGATAATCTCATTCTCATCTATCCTAAAGTGAAAAGGATGGTAGTGTTGAGGCACGTGTACTAAGGAGACACGTCCCAAACATTTGGAATTGTCAAACTCTGGACATTGACTACAATAACTGACCACGCTAGTTAGTTCCCTTTTATTATTATCAGTAAAAAAATGTGAATGACCATAATGCTTTATTTCACCTTTGGGCAGTTACTTTTGGTCAAATCTGCAACACTTTCAAGAAGCAGTGTTCCAAAGATGCAATATCTTATCATCCATCGTATTTGCACTTTATTAGTTAAATAAATCAAGTGTACATTCTAGTTATAAAATATATTAAGAATCTCTCCACTTTCATATATTTCACATTACTACATTAGAGGCTATTAGCTGTAACGGCATCAGATTCTCTGAGACCAGAAGTTTAAGATTCTTCTCTCGAGCATTTTTTATCCTGTTCTCTTATTTTTTACTCTTTCTTTTTCTTTTTGTACCTTATTCATATAATAAAAATATGGGATACTTGAGGAAATAGTTTATATTACAGTTTTTATCTTTTGCAGTAATAAATATCTCATTTGATAATATATAATGTTATGGAAATAAAGTATGTATATGAAAAGAAAAAATGAAGATGCATACTTCTCGTATATGCATGGAGCCGATATCTCCCTCTGCGTCCTCAAACTCAACCAAAAGCGATAGCCAAAACGGTGTGGAGCCTTCGTTAACATGAAAGGCAATTTTTCTTCCTGGATATTTACACGGAGTTCTGCAAATGATACAAACACAGAGGACAAATTCTATTCATTAAAAAAATGATACTGAAAATGCGCCTTTCCTTTAATCCACAAAACAAAAGGGTCAATCACTCGGGACTCAACAAGGGTACACTCAGACGCAGATCATGTAGCATCCTGATATATAGAAACAAACAGGGAAGCACAAACCGAGAGTAACCTTTTTCCTTTAAAGGGAAGCTGGGTTAATATTATAAGCTAGAAAAACAGTCAAAAGTCAAATATAAGGGGGAAAAATGGTACTACCCTAGTCAAAGAGTCAATGCAACAAGGTCCCCCATTCCCAATAAAAACATACAACAACATTTACATTATTACTCTTACAATATATATAGCTGCTAGTCACTTCACATACTCAAGTCTATTTTTACTTAATATATATATAATGGAGTGTTACAAAGGATTTGGTTTCTTTAAACAATGGCTATAGATAAAAACTGCGGTTGAAAAGAGAGACTTGATTGTTTAGTCAGATCTTATGATAGAGATTCGTTATGAAAAAATGGGTAGTAACATTAATTATTAAAAAATGAAAATGTAGATTTAGATATAGATTTACCTTCGGTAAATGACAGGGATTTGGCCACGGTCTCTGAGTGGACCGTTTTCTCCAGCTATGGCCATGCGGCCAAACGCGGCACCACTGAGATCGAAGTGTGTTTGGTCAGAGGGGCAACCGGGACACTCGTCCGTGATAATGACTGTCACTGCTCTTCTCGAACATATGCTCTTGTCCAAACACTTCACTTTGTAGCACGCACCACACCCTTCCCCTTTCATGAACAACAAGGGTCCCACCGCTCCCACCCGCGCCCTGAACGGCTTCACATCCACCAACGTACCATACCCACATGCCCCACCTTCACACATCATTCACCCAAACTCACTCATTATCACAACATTCACACCATATAATTTAATTCTACACCCCTTTATAATCATACGTCTCAATTCTCAAACAAACATTCTAATCCTTTTTACTACAAAATTTCCTTAGCTACGTCCAAACAACTCCTTAAATCACTGTTTCTCCATTAGAATTAGAGTTTATTTGTGTAATATCTTTAATACTCAAACTGTCAAAGTAAAAAAAATATATCTAGGTGAAAACTCTTCCGTTAGCAAGATACTCTTGACAACAGAATAACATTAAAACAGCTAAAATTTGTAATTAAATTTTGTTCCCTTTAATCAAATTAAATTAGAATTTTATCTTAAATTATTGAATTAAAACATCAATTGTAATAAAAAAAATAAAACAATATCAAAAACACTTAAAAAAATTACATCTACGTTTTGTTAGTTTCTGGGCAATTGTATTGGCTGAGTTATTAGTGAAAAAAAGGATCTTGTGAAGGGAATTAATTAGTTAGTTACCGGTGCTGCCGTCTCCTTCGGGGTCGCCGTACCAGGTGGCGGTTCCGGGGTACCAATGCAGGTCTGGGCCACGGTGCTGAGGTTGTCCCTGGGCGGCGTACAAAAGCACGAGTTTGAAGGCGAGGCTGAAGCAGGCGAGGGTCAGTTTGGAGGCGGCGGAGGCACGGTGGAGCTGCATTGTGCAGTGGGTGGCAGTTGGAGCGACAGAGAGGGCTCTGGGGGCGTTGCCGACAGTGTGGTGGCGGCAGAGTGAGTGAGTGAGTGTGTTTATAGTTAGACCGTTACGGGGGTTTTGGGTTTCTTATAGTAGAACAGGGCGTTACCGTTTTTACTTTGTTGTCCATTGGTTTGGTGGTTATTTACGGAAGGGTGCCATTCAAGGACTTAGGCTGGGTCCCACCGGTAGTTAAGGCGTTAATTTCGCATGTGCGCGCGAGAAATGAACAAGGGTCAATTGGTCATTTGCCTCCGAGACAAAGAAAAGACACAAATGCCGTTTCTTTAATAGATCCAAATTACAAATTTAAGTTGATTAAACTATATTTTTTTTCTTCTCTTTTTTATTTTTAATATTTAATTTAATCACATTATTTTTAAATAATTTTTAATCATTTGATCTTTTAATTTTTTAAATATTTAATATTATCTTTTTATCTAAATTAATATTAATAATATTAATGAAATCAAACTGAATAATAATATTGAATATCATTTAAAAATTATAAAATAAAATTGAATCATTTAAAAATAATGAGATCAAATTGAACGAGACTAAATTGAATAAAAAAATGTATCTAATATTTTTTTAGTTAAATTTAATTTTTTATCTATTTAATAATTTATTTTATTTGATAATTTCTTCATTTCTGATCATTATTATTATACATGATCTTATTAAGGTAAATAAAAAAAAAATTTATCTAAAAAAATATATTAAATAAATGTTTATTTAATTTGATTCTACTATTTTTAAAATATTTAATCTAGTCCCAATATTTTTAAAATGTTTAATTTTATCTTTTAATTTTTAAAAAACATCAATATTGTAATTTTATATAATTTTATTAATGTCATTAATGTTAATTTTAACAAAATGACAATATTGACCATTTTTAAAAAATTAAAAGATCAAATTAAATTTAGGTCCTCATACTTTTAATTATCCTAACTTTTTTTATTCAATCACTAAGATAATCTTAGTAGTGAAATAGTAAGACTAAATTAAATCTTAAAAATAAATATAAAAATTAAAAATATAATTTAACCAACTTAAGATTTGATGAATAATATTTTAATTCATTACCACTATTTTAATTGATAAATAAATAATTAAACAAGTGAGTAGTAAAAATCGAATTTAGGACTTATAGATATTATTCTAATCTTATAATTAAGTCAGTTTTAGTGATTCAATTAACAAACAATTAAATCATTATTTTAAAAATAAATTTTATTAAAAAAATTGTTAGCCCATATAAAACTTATTTTATCTTGATTAAAATTAAAGTTTAATACACATTTTACTTTTAAAATAAGTGAAGTTAGTGAGAAATAACTATGTATGTAATTAGAAATTAATCTATATTATATATCTAAATAAATAGATAAAAATAAGTATCTTCTTACTATAGTTATAAATTATTACATAATTTTGCATTTTCTATATGCACGTGTTCTTTTTTGAACAAGTTAAATCCTTAAATGATAAAAAAAAATACGCCTATACTTTTTATATGTATATATTTTGTTAGTCAAATTGTATTCGCTACTGATATGGTGTGACATTATTAGTTTATTACATTTTTCTTTAAGCACGTGGTTCAATTCCCAAGTTTTTATTTTATTTGGAAAAATAGTGTCTGAATGGATACAAACATTCAAATAGTCTAGTTTCAATTAAATTGTAATTTTAAATTAAAATTTAAGAACTAATTTGACAAAAAGATTATGTATATCTGTATTTCAAATATAATTTTGATAGGAATTTAATAGACACGTATCATTAATGTAAAAGTTATTTTCATATAATTTTGACATAATTATTATAAATGAGTGTTTATAGTATTTAATATATATGAGAGTCTGGCAATGGGCAAAGTAGTTGGCAGTAGAGCCCTGACTTTCACATTCTCGCAATGTGAACTGTAGAGGGGATTTTGTTGACAAATGTATGTTATCGTGGTCTTCTTCTGCACTTGATCTCATCCATTTAAAATGAGTTTTTTTATATTAAAATTATACACAAAAATTTCATCGTAAAAGTAACTTTCCTTAGATTTTGTAACCCTTCAATTAAAAGACGATTTGCTGGAACTGTATACAATGTTACAAGGTTTTAAATGATAAATTTAATAGAATGTATTTAGAGTTTTTTTTTACACCAAGAATGTATTTATAGTTATAAATATTTTTTCAATTATTATCTTCTTATAAATTATCTTATACGGTAAAATTGTTGATTTCTTAATAATAATTTAAAAAATTGTAATATCGTAAGTTTTTGTTAATTATTATATTTTTGTAATAATTATGTGTTAAGATACTTTGAAATGTAGTGTTGAAAATTTTTGAAAGGTAAAAATTTTTGGAAGAGTATTCAAGTGTTTTACAAGTTTTTTTCACTTTAACTTTTCCTTGCATGTTTATGTTTTTTTTTTTGGTTGATTGAATTGCAATGAATAGGATAAGGATAGACTAAATACTAATGATTTTTGGAACTATGCTATTGGTAGGTGACTTTATGCTACTATCGGTGATGGTGTATAATTTTATTATAATTACTTAACCGAGAACTTAGAATTATATATTATAATTTTTAATAATAATAATAATAATAATAATAATTATTATTATTATTATTATTATTATATATATATATAATGTATTATAATTTTTTTAAGGATCTATAATTATGTAAACTTTGGATAAATATTGTATTTTTCACTATTAGTAGTGAATTTCATTAAATATAAAATGTTGTGAGTGATTTCTAATTGTTAACACAAAAAATTTCTTTCCTAATTGTATATCAACATCAAACCTTTAAATTATTGATATCTTGAAATTTTAGTGTTCGCTGTGAGTAAAATTTTGGCTGTTTCATTTGCACGTATGTATTCTTCAAGAATAAAGATAGTTTGACATTTTTAACAAGGTATATATATACGTGCATTAGAAGAAGAAAAAATATGAAGACAAAATTGATAAATACAATGCCTGATATAATTAAAAAAAAAAGTAGCATAAATTGGATATAAGTGTAGAAAAAATTAATATTATATCAATCATTATTTGCTATTTTTGTACTCATAATGTAAAAATTTCTATTTCATTTACATTACAACATTTTGTACATTACTCAAGTGCTTTTAAATTTAAACATAAAATAATTAAAAAATAGTAGTCATTTTACTATTAATAATTGTATTAAATATGTGAATAAACTAAAGAAGATAAGACTTTTAAAATTAAAATTATTTTGATTTTAATAATTTATTTCCATATATTATTATTATTATTATTAAAATACTATATTTTATAATAAAAATAAAATAAAATACCTAATTTGAGAGAAATTCTGTAACGTAATAAAAATAAGAATAGTTTCTATAAATACTTTCATTTAATAACGAGGACAAAGATTTATTATGATGGATACGTTTCTGTGCATGTACTAACCAATACACTGCAATATCTAATCAATTAATTTATTTAATAGAGATTGTCAATATATGTGGAATACAAGTATGGGGCTCATTCTTAAATTTTGAGTCAGATGTACTTTTAGATTGATAGAACCAGTTAAGTCGAAAGAAAAAAAAAACTGAAAGAACGAATAACAACAACAATATTCAAAAATTTATACTTAAATATTTTTTTAAAATTTAAATTTAGAACAGTCTTTTTCTAGCAGGTTGGTGTGCCTGCGGAGGGATTTGGATTGCGACATCGACATTAGGCGGAGAGTCTTATGATTGCAAGGTTAGTGATCTCACCTTTCCAAATTAGAATCTAAAAAAATGAGAGAGTGAGAGAGAAAGCTTGAGAATGAGAGAGAATGGACCATGGTGAGATCAAGACGGAGGAAAGAATTTCGATCGGGATTGAAATATCAACAGAACAAGAGGATGCCAGAGGAAAAGGTGATGAATAATGGGAATGGGTCACAACGGCATAGGAGATTTTTTGGCAAAATTTATGATGGTGTTGTGCCATATTTTTTCACCAATTTTCCTGAGAATTTTGGTACCATAGATATGTGGAGAGTTTTCACAAAGTGGGGAGGAAAAGTTATTGATGTGTATATTTCAAATAAAAGGAGTAAGTACGGTGACCGCTTTGGTTTCGTCAGATTCATGGAGAATGAATATCCTGAGTATTTGGAGAGGAAACTGCAACAAATTTGGATTGGCACCTTTAAGCTCCGGGTTAATCTATCCTGTTTTACTAAGGTGAAGGGGAATAAAGAAGTGGGCACAATTTTGGGCGGTGTTACGGAAGAGGGGGTTCAAAGACAACATTATAGGAGAGGTATAGTCCAGGGACAGAGTTTTGTGGACGTGGTTAGAGCCAATACCAGGAGGGTATGGAAGCCCAAAGTAACCCAACAAGCTAAGAGTGCAGAAAAGTGGAATGGTATGGAATTTTTTGTGTCAAATGAGGAGATGGAATGGTTACAACGATGCTATATTGGTCAGGTGAGACAAATTGATGAAGTATGTCACTTACACGATAAGTTCTTATCTGAAGGTATTCGTTCAATAAAGATTATACCAATGGGTGACAATCTAGTATTGATTCAACCACTCCCTGGGGAGAATTTTGAGGATTTGATGAAGGAGTTACAGGACATGTTTTCAATTTGGTTTGAATCAATTCGCCCGTGGAATCAAGATGAATTCGTAAAAGGAAGACAAGTGTGGGTAAGATGTATTGGTGTCCCTGTACATATATGGTCAGAAACATTCTTTAGATCAATAGCAACTATTTTTGGTAGATTTGTACGCATTGACAATAGAACGAAGAATATGGATAGATTGGATGTTGCTTGGATGTTAATTCACACTACTTCAGTGGAGGTGATTAATAGGTGGATGAAAATCAAGATTAATGACTACTTTTTTTCAATCAGCATTATAGAGGATCCCTTCGTTAATCCTTGGAATGTGTTATCAAGTAGCTCAGTTAGTAATTTTTTGAGTTCCAGTCATTGTTCTTCATCTCAATCTTCACTTAGGGATAGTAGCTGGGATACTTTTTGTCATGA